CACTCCCCCTCCCAGGCCCCGGGTTCTGCGTGGCTCACAGCAGGCACAAACTTTCCACTGCTGCTGACTCCGTCTTCCCACCCAGCCTGGGCAGGGGCCGTGCAACCCCCCAGCACGGGGTGGGGGCGATGACCTCATAGCCTAACGCCCTCTTCGCCTCCCCAGCCTCCCCAGCCCGTGTATTCGGTCTGGCTCTCAGGGCCAGAAGTACTCCCAGTTTGGGTGGGGCTTTCTCATGTTCTTGAGGACAAACTTTCCTCTCCTTTTCCTGATGAATTTCTAGGGGAAACCCTTTCCCTGTGTTTCCAGAATTCTCTCCCTGCCAAGCCTTCCTTCCCTTCTCCAGGGGGCTGTGTGAGTATGTGAGAAGCCACGGCAGAGACCAGGGCCTTTTAAAACCTTTTCCTGGGCTGGGCCAGTGTTTGTGTGAAATGGCAGCTGCTGACAGGAGGGCCTGAAAGCCACTCCAGGGCAGAAAGGGTTGGAATGGAAAGCCCAAAATTGGGGATTGGCCGAGCTCCCGGTCCCACATGGCTTTCCCGCCTAGCCACATGTCAGAGAGGATTCCCAACCCACTACAGCTCACAGCCCCAACCCGCCCAGAGCCCTGCCCTGCGCAGGGTGCTGGGAGCTGGGGCAGCAACTTGGCTTCTTAAGGTAGCTGTTGTCCAGCCCTGGGTGACTTAAGGTGGAGCAGATAGATAGTAGGAAATGGCAAAAAGGAAGCAAGCGAGTGACTTTAAGGGTGTCTAGGCAAGAGCAGGGCCTGACCTTTTATGTTTTCCATAATGTATCTTGCTTCATTTGCTTGGGTCCAAAAAAGGCCATAAGGAATCTTTTATTGAATACAAAATTCATAGATTGGACTCAGATGAACCTAATGGTGATGTCGTCATCCCTGAGGACAGGAAAAGGACAGGACTAATTCATCCTAGTTGCAGACAGTGGGAACAGTGCTGGCTTCAAGGTACAGAGGAAAGTAGCACATGGCCCACCCCGTGGCAAAGGAAGGAGGGTGGCCAACTTCGTTTCAGTCCCTGCCTGTTTGCCTGGGACTAAGGGGGAGTCCCAGGAGGCGGGAACTTCAGTGCTAAAACCTGCCAAGTCCCAGGCAAACTGAGACAAGTTGGTCACACTAGAATGAAGCGTCAGCTGAGTGCAGCTGCCTCGACGCCCAGCCCCCTCTGTGTGTAGGTTGGCATCCAGCTGTCTCCTGTGGGGAGTATATATATATAGACTCTGGTACTTACCAGCTCAGGCAGTCATACCCTCACCAGGCCTCAGTTTGCTTATATGTAAAATGGGGTTAATAGCAGCCACCACCGAGGTTTGTGAGGTTTGAACGAGAAGACACAAATGTGCCTGGGGAAGCATCTGGCACGTAACAAGCGCTAAGTGTTAGAATCTTATTTACCACTCGTGCATTCAGTTCGTTCAGCAAGTTTGCATGTGTGCCATGTGCCAGGCTCTGCTGCAGGCCGAGGAACACAGACAAAAATATTCTGCCCTTGCGAAGGGGGATAAACAGTACGTGAAGGCATCTGTGCTAGGGTGAGAAGAGCTGTCGAGGGAAATGACTGGGGAGGATGAGGGGCATTGAGAGTGCCAGGGCGAGTTTGGCGGTCAGGGGAGCCCTCACTGCACAGGAGACGTTTGTACTTTAAAGACCCGAGGGAGCGAGCCCCACCCAGCGAGGGGGATCTGGGCAGAGGGAACAGCTTGTGCAGAGCTGAAGCAGAAACATGCCTGGTACATGCAGAGAAGAGCAGGGAGGCTAGCTGGGCAGGATGGCAAGGAACAAGGGGAAAACGGTAGGAGACGGGCTGGGAGTCTGGGGGGCTCGTGAGGACCTTAGAGGCCGTCATAAGGTCTTTGGTGGCCAGTTTCACTCCAAGTAAAAGCCAGAGGGTTTTGAGCAGATGAGTGACACATGCTTCCTCGGGTCTTAAAAAAAGATCATTCTGGCTACTGTGCCGTGAACAGACTGAGAGCAGGAGAGTGGAAGCAAGGAGACCAGTTGGAAGACGGTTGCGATAATGCAGATGGGACTGGCTTAGACCAGGGCGACAGCAGTGGAAAAGCGGAAGCATTTGGACTTTGGATATATCTTGCCGGCAGAGCTGATAGGATTTGACTATGTGGAGACAGGGGAGGGAGGGCTGAGAGTCAGGGATGACTCCAAGGTATTAATATGAGAGCAGAGAGGGACAGGCAGCCCTGCCCCTCAGATGGCGTGCTCAGATAGACTCTTTTGGGGTGGGGGCTCCATCAGGCTATCGAGATGCCCCTTGCGATGACCTTTACTGTCTGATGTCCTGGTCTGCCCTCATAACCATCTATTAAACCTTGTCAAGTAGGGAAGAGCATCTCCTCGCTTTACATTGTGAATCCTGCTTCTTTGAGAAACATCCCAGGTTGATCAACAGATTACCAGAACTCCTGTTTCCCTTAAGCAGACCTGGCTCTTCAGCACAGAGTTTCCAGTTGGCACAGCCTTGCCATCTCCAGTCCCTGGGGAGGAAGAACCAGCAAGGCCCTGCCCCTGGCAACTCTGCCTGTCCGGGAATAAAGATGCCCTGCCCGGAGCACGGCTTTCCCAGGCCCCTGCTTTCCTTTCCTACTGGGAACACGACTTCTCGGGTGGTGGAGGCAGGGAGCCTCTGGGAAGCAGGCCAGCCTGCTTCTAGTGCTTTGACCAAGCCTTGCTCCCTGCGGAGCTCAGCTGTGCCACTCAGCTGGAGGCCAGCGTGATGGACTCAGGCCCTGGGAGGCAGGAGACCCTGGGTGGAAGCCTCAGCCACCACTTCCCTGACAGCTCCCTGCGTCTGTCTCCTAAGCACTAGCGAGTGAAAGTAATCTCAGAAAAGGGCCCTCAAATCCCTGACTGTATAGGTGTGGGTGCCCATCCATCCCCTGCCCCCCACTCTCCCTCCTGGCAGGCTCCCACAGCGGCCTTCCCGGACCCTTGAGTGTCTGAGTGCCTCCTGGTGGTTTTTGCTTTTAGGATGGAGAAATGGAGACCATCTCGGACCGTGCAAAAAATACTCCTTTGGGTACCTATCTTCCCATTTTCAAACCTTTTTCTGTCCACACATCCTCCGTAGGTCTAACCCACATCTCTCCTCTGGCCGTTTAAGGTGACACTCTTGGGTTCTATTCAGTGCAGATGGAGAGTGGAGGTTGCCGCCCACCGCACGTCCGCACCCTCCCCACCGATGCAGTGGGCTGGGTGTGGACTGACGGCTCCACCAGCTCCTCTTGTCCTCGCCGCTTTCCTTGCTCGCTCCGTGAAGCTCAGTGGAGTACCCCCTTCTTCTCATTGGGACCTTCCTCAGCTGTTGACCTTTCTTCAAGACAAAGGTCACCCCACCCTGCCTGCAGGGAGCCCACCAAACAGGCAGCCAACAGCTTGCAGTGCCAAAGCCAGGACTAATTTGCTTCAGTGTGTAAACAACCTGATGAAAGCCGCTGGCGGTGATGCCACCCCGGGATTCCCCTCTACCCTCAAGGGGTAACCCCCTGGGATCCAGCAGAAGGGCCTGAGTATGAGGAAGCCGCAGAGAATAATCCTGCCTGTCTCTCGTCCCTTTGGGAACATGCCTAGAATGTGTGTGTGGGGTGTGCGACGTGTGTGGTGGTGTGTAGTGTGTGTGTGGTGTCTGTGTAGTGTGTGTGGGTCTGTGTGTACTATGTGTGTGTGGTGTGTGTGTGGTGTCTGTGTGTACTATGTGTGTGTGGTGTGTGTGTGGTGTCTGTGTGTACTATGTGTGTGTTGGTGTGTGTGGGTCTATGTGTGCATGTAGCATGTGTGTGTGTGGTATGTTTGCATGGTGTGTGTGTGTGCCTGTGGAGTGTGCGTGTCACATGGTGTGTGTGCACAGGCACTCAAGCATACGTGTGTGTGGGCGGGGAAGATGCCGGTAATCAAGGACTGTAGTATCTGAAATCTTTATGCCCTCACCTTTCTTGTTCCCTTTTTATTGAACCTGAATAGTAGTACTTCTCTTAGTACCTACAAGTACTTAGCACTTGGTGCAATAGTAGTACCTGTTAATGGTGTGTGTTTGTGCCTGTGTGTGTGTGTGTGTGTGTGTGTGTGTGACAGAAAAGGAGGAGCATGTGTACTTACAGGGGATGCCCAAAACTGACAGCCTCACAGCCTCTGCTCTGATGAGCTCCTAAAGCTCCTGGAACCTGCAATCAAGACACATGGGTGGGCTCTGCCTCCATTTTACATGACCTTGAGCAGGTAGCTAGTCCTTGTCTGGCCTTTATGTATAAGCCAATAGATGGAAGCTCACTCTATATTTGTTTATTTATTTAGAGACAGGGTCTCACTCTGTTGTCCAAGCTACAGTGCAGTGGCATCATCATAGCTCACTGCAACTTCAAACTCCTGGGTTCAAGCAATCCTCTTGTCTCAGCCTCCTGAATAGCTGGGACTATAGGTGCTTACCATTACACCCAGCTAATTTTTTTATTTTTTTGTAGAGATGAGGTCTCACTGTTGCCCAGGATAGTCTCAGACTCCTGGCCTCAAGCAATCCTCCTGCCTCAGCCTCCCAAAGTGCTAGGATTACAGGCATGAGCCACCGCCCGGCCTCTCACTCTATATTTAAACCATTACCAGCATTTACACCTGAGGGAAAAGTGCTGTGTGAATTCCAAGAGACATTTTAATGTTTACGTTCTTAGAGCAGGAGCCCAGCACGTCCTCAATGAGGAGTAGATGAGAGTTTACCTCTGGGTTAGCTTATCCTGGTTACAAAGAGAAGCGAGTGGCCTCCATGACCTCGTAGTCCCACTTTGCTCATTTTCAGAGTGAAAGTTCCACACCCCAAGTCCTGGGCAAGCTGAGATGGTTGGCCACCCTACCTGGCTCTCAGACTTGGGCGCATGAGGAAGCAAGAGTTCTTTTTTTAAAATAGGGCTTTTAACTGCCTTCTTTTATCATTCCCCGTTTTTCCCTCGTTCATTACCCACCCCTATCTCCTTTTCAGGTCTGTCTGGGAACCCTGCAGATCTGGAGAGACGTAGGCAGGTGTTTGGACATAACGTGATACCCCCCAAAAAGCCCAAGACCTTCTTAGAATTAGTGTGGGAAGCCCTTCAAGATGTCACACTCATCATCCTGGAGATCGCAGCCATCATCTCCCTGGTCCTGTCCTTCTATCGCCCCGCTGGCGAAGAAAGTGAAGGTGAGCGTCCTAAACAGATCAGGGTCCGGGTTCTCTGATCCGGGTTCTTTCCATCGCCACCAAAAAGCACTCAGTATTGGGGGTTGGCAAGTTATAGCTTAAAACTTTTCCCCCCGTTATCTAGAGTGGGCTCTCCGCAGGAAACTAACTAGTAGCTAGTAAGCCATTCTTCCAACCCGTCCTTATTCCAGAGGACTTTTTCCCCTTCTCCCATCAAATCCTGTTCAGAGTGTCACGGATGCTCTGCCGTTACCCAAGCAACAAAGCCCTGCATCTCAGAGGGCCCCTGCCAACGGTCTGGCCTTGTGGGAAATAGCGGTGGGAGCCTGACCATGTTGGGAATCACAAGTGTGAGTTTACATGTGACTTGCCTACAATTGGCATTGACATATTTTGTTCTCTGTGGTCATTTGCTTCTTTTGGATTAACGTAAATAGTTATACTGGTGATGAGACAACACTCAATCCTGCTGTCCTCGGATGTGCTTTCCTACTCAGGAATTTTGTTTTCTATTATTCTCTTTCCCTGACTTGCCATTTTGGAGGGGGATTGTGGAAGGACTACCCTTATTTCTGAATGTCAAAAAAGCCCCTCGGTGACTGTTTCTCTCCCTTCCCTGGGATAGTGTGTGGTCAAATTGCAAGTACCCCAGAAGATGAAAAGGAGGCAGAAGCCGGCTGGATTGAGGGGGCAGCCATCCTGTTCTCGGTGATCGTCGTGGTGTTGGTGACTGCCTTTAATGACTGGAGCAAAGAGAAGCAATTCCGGGGGCTGCAGAGCCGCATCGAACAGGAGCAAAAATTCTCCATTATCCGAAATGGTCAACTCATCCAGCTCCCTGTGGCTGAGATTGTGGTGGGCGATATCGCCCAGATCAAGTATGGTGAGAGCTCCACCTTTCTGGTACTTACGCCACCGCCACCACCGCCCCACACTTGAGGGGGAGATCCTTTGGCATGAGAGGGCTGAGGATTGCTGAAAACCCAAAAAGACCCCAAACTGTGTTAGCTAGGAGGTTGTGGGAAGGAATTTCAGAGACAGCGGTAGCTGAGACTCACCTAAAAGATTGTCACACTTGTACCCTGCGTGTCTTAAGGTTAAAAGTGTATAACATTCAGGCCATGGAAACAATACCCATGTTTGGGTATTGATAACAGTTTGAATTTATAATACCTGGAAAGGAATCTTGTCCTGGGTGGTAGAGAGCTGAAGTTGTCTTGTAAATGCTCTCCAGATTCTCCCTGGTAGAGCCCGTGGGAGCAGCCCTGAGATGGAATGGAAGAAGTTGGAGGTCCCCACCCTTGGCCAGGCTCTTACCCACCCTCCTTCACTGTTCCCCCTTCCCTTTGTGCACTAGGTGACCTGCTGCCTGCAGATGGGATCCTGATCCAGGGGAACGACCTGAAGATTGATGAGAGCTCTCTGACAGGGGAATCAGACCATGTCAAGAAGTCGCTGGACAAAGACCCCATGTTGCTCTCAGGTATAGCCTCTGGCTACCCGAGCTCCCATTCTACCCCTCCCCAGACAGCCAGCCCACAGGATCCAGACCGTGCTTTCTCTTCTGGCTCTATCCCATCTCCTTCCCTTGCGTTCAGCTGGGGCAATAGAGTATTATTGGGAGGAATACAGGGATATCAGGCAACCTAAATGAGGTTTTCTATGAAACGAGTACTGGAGGGTCCTTGGAGGGGGTCTGTTGGTTGTGGGGAGAGGGGACAGAAGGAGGGCTTACCTTAAAACGGTTAGACACATTTTCCTCCTTGCTACCAATCCGCTTGGTCTGTTTTAAATGGGCCAGCTCTCAACCTTTTCACACTATGCTAAGTATGTCATTATCCATGGAGTAGGGGATTATTTTTTCTTCTAAGTTTGTGTTTCACACGAAGTCATGGCTAGGTATTTTTTTTTTTTTTAAAAAAACACTACTTTCTATTCCCTCCTTTCCTATATAGGAACCCATGTCATGGAAGGTTCTGGCCGGATGGTAGTGACTGCTGTGGGTGTCAACTCCCAGACTGGAATCATCTTTACTCTCTTGGGGGCCCATGAGGACCATGAGGAAGAGAAGAAGAAGAAAGGTAAGGGACACCCAGAATGAGACTCTCTTTCCTCTGATCCCAATGGACAAACAAGGAAGCAAGGGAGCAGATCTGGATGGAAAGCCTGGTGGGAAGAATCTGCTGGAATGAAGAAAGCAGATATCCAGATATCCATACTCCTTGCCGAGATAAACATATAATCCCTGGCTCTCCAGGGAGCCCTGATGAAAACCAGAACCTGGGTCTAGGCTCCCAAATCAGGTTGAATTTGAGCCTCAACTTTTGTGTCTATTGGTCAGTTGTGAAGGGATGAGTTATAAAGCCTGCCCAAAATGAGCTGGCTGGGTGCTCCAGCCCCAAATGCCCTGTGTGTACGCCTCCTCCCCCTACGTTTTCCCTCAAAGATGGGAGATTAAATGAACCATCACGACTAGGGGGAAACTGGCCAGAAGAATAAAATGGATTCCTGATGAAACCATGGGCTCTCGGTGCCAGAGAGACGCGGCTGGGAGAGTGGGAACAGAGAGGTAGTGTCTACCCTGAAGCTAGTCCGGTCTTTGCCATTCACTTGTTCCTGAAGGAAGGAATGACAGAAGGAGGAGGAGGCAAAGATACTCAAACCAAATCTACACCTTTCCCTAAGCATTCCTTCTTCCCTTGGGAGAGAGAAAGATTGCCACCACTTGTCTAAAGGATCATCTTGAGCTGTTTAGCGGAGGACAGTTTATGAAAAGGAAATTAGACTTCATTTTTGCAGCTACCTGCAGAGGAATAAGGAGGAAGGTTGCCTGGTGCTGCTGAAGGAACATGGAGACACCTTCGGGGCCTTTGCCATTGGGCAGAAACAGTTCTAACCTCTCACTTCCAAATCCCCATCCCATTTTCCAAGCAATGTGACTCAGACCAAGAGCACCCTCCCAGCAGCAACCATGCTCCAAGAGAAAGCAGCTCAGGGGTGAGCATGCACTCACCTACGTGAGTGTTTTGGTCAGCATCCCCAGGATTCATTAGAGCCTCTAGCAAGAATGAATGAAAGCAGAGATGTGAGTTTCCTTTACATTTCCCTTCCCTGCAACGCAGCCCCTTTGCTGCGGCCCTTCTGGGCACTGAGCAGGACCAACAAATTGGATATCTGATCTCTTAATAGCCACTCTGGGTTCCCACCCCACTTTTTTCTTTCTTGTTCAAACAGGTAAAAAACAAGGAGTCCCTGAAAATCGCAACAAAGGTAACCTCTCCACCCACTCATTTACCATCTCTACCTGCCCACGCTCAAACCAGACCTTTCCAGGCCATCTGCCTTCTCCCTTTTCTGCTCCATAAATCTGTTATCTGCTACTGTGGCTCAGATCCCTCATCCTGAGGAAGGTGCAGAGATTTGAGGGGTGGTCGCAAGGTCCCAATCCCAATCTAAAATGGGACAACAGCACCCTCTGCTGTTGGCTCATAGAACCTCATGTCAAGGTTTCTCTTGGGGGTTGTGTGGGATTGGTCTGCTCTTCCCAGGGTGCTGAGCTCTTTGTTTCATTGCCCTCAGCTGGGTTTAAACACCAATGGTCCTCGGTTTCTGGGTTGGAAGACTTCAGGGTCCTTATGGCGGAGGGAGTTGGGTGGGCAGTCCCTGCACCCTCCTCTTGGAGCTTCCTCATCGATGTCCTCTTCTGGTCTGGATTCCTTCTCTGCTGGTCTTCCCAGGGGTGCTTGGAGAGAGCCCTTTGTCCGGACCTCTGTCCCCACCTCTTTCTTTGTTCTCTCCACAATGTTTTCTTCCTCCTGATCCGATGTGTGTTTCTCTTTCTGGTGGCTGTGTTTACATCCCGTCTCTGTCCTGTTTGTGAGTCCGACAGCAGAGACAGGCTCTCAGGAAGGGCATTCTAAGCGAGGGGCTGAGCTCTGCAGGGGCGTGGGCAGAGGGGTGTCGGGAACCAGCAAGAACTGCTCTCTTGGGACGGCTCCTGGAAGCTTTTTTTCCCCTTCGTAACTAACGCACATCATAGTAATCTTTAGAAATAAAGTCATCACAGCAGAGAACCAGGGCCAAACAGAAATAATTCTTTAACTTTAGGTCTCTTTAACTCTTCTTTTAAAAACAAAATGGATTTTTATGTCTGTCTTTATCCCTGCTTTCTCTTATTTTGGGGGGGGTCCCTCACATCACCTTCATCCCTCTCCCCCAAAACACTTAACCCCAAGTCCTACTCCGTACCTCCCTACCATTGTCAGGCAGGGAAGAAAAGGGCTTTCCTTCCTCTGTCCTTCAACTGATACAAGAAGGCTCTGGAAAATACCCTGGGTCTGGGGGTCTGTGTTTCTTTTCTGATACTCTAGAGAGACAGAGAGAGAGAAACCGTTTAACAGAGTAAGCTTATGCTCTAGAAACATCTGCCAACCTTTTCCTTCTGCCCCTTTCTGCAGTAAAGATTTCACTATTTTAAGAACTGAATTCCAGGAAGGATGTTTGTTGGTAATAGCACTTAATGACATGATTAATCCCCTTGCTGGAATAAACCTGGCTTGGGGCTCTGAGGTGATGCCAGGAAGCTGCTACTGAAGAGGAACTCCATAGCCTAAAAGCACCCTTGTCTCATCCGCAGTTGTTAGAATATTATCCCAAAGGCCCTATTAGAGGGTTGAAGGTAAGTTCCCTGTCTGGTAGGGGGTGGGAGTGGCAGGAACTGATGTCAGGGGCTCCCAGGTATATTCCAGCACGAAGACAGAAGGGTCTTTTGGTTTCCACCGCCTGCCACTCAGTGCCAGCACCTTTCCTGCTCACCTGTCCTATTTGTGTGTGCACCCTAGCAAAGACCCAGGACGGAGTGGCCCTGGAAATCCAGCCACTCAACAGCCAGGAGGGACTTGACAATGAGGAGAAGGAGAAGAAGGCAATCAAGGTGCCTAAAAAGGAGAAGTCGGTGCTGCAGGGCAAGCTGACCCGCCTGGCCGTGCAGATTGGGAAAGCCGGTGAGTGGCGTTGCTCCTCGGTGTCATTCTGGGGCCTCACTACTTTGATCCCCTTCTTTCTGCAGCAACCAGGACTGGCAGAAAGAAGCCGAAACTGCAGAGTGGCTAGTTGGGTCTAGGTAGCTGTGTCCCCATCTCTGCCACTGTTTGTCCACTCCATAGAGAGAGGTTTTCCCTGTGTGTAAGGGTTAAGGAGCCTGAGGTCTCTCATACCCAAACAAATGGGAAATAAAGAGCATATATCACAAGGGAGATTTACGTTTGAAGAAGGAAGACTTTAATAACTGCTTACCGGTCTCAGGTTTTGGCTTAAGGGCAGAGAAGTCTGCAGTTTGCTGAAGGCGGTTCCCTGGCATAGTGGTAGCATCTGGCCAAGCACAGAGCAATAATACCAAATAAAGACCGGAGGAAAAAAGGAAGACAGTGGTTAGACAGGCTCGCTCCAGAGGAAAGGTCGCTAATGCACTCTGTGTATGAGGGAGTGGCTTCTCCATCACGTACCTCTGCCTTCTCCTCTCCCACCACCTTCTTTCAATGGAGGGGCCAGGGGAATGGGAGGAGGGGACAAAAGGAAGATTGCTCCTTCAGTGGACATATCCCTCAAGATAATTTTCTGACCCCACCCTTCTGTTCGTCAGTCACAATCAGTACATTTCTGGGTGCCCAGCTCACGTGGGTTCTTGTGACGGTGCAGATGCAGCTCAGGAGGTCTGGGGTGGAGCCTGAAATTCTGCATTTCTAACAAGCCCCCACACGATGCCACGCCGCTGACCCGTTAAGCACACGTTGGATAGCAAGGATCTGTGCTGCCGATGGCAGGAGCCACTCACCACATGCGACTGTTGCAATTGAAATTAATTAAAATTAAATAAAGTTAAAAATTCAGTTCCTCAGTATATTAACCACATTATCGTATCGAACGGTGCAAATAGAAAATGTTTTAAGCATCGCAGAAAGATCTATTGGGCTGTGTTGGTCTAGCCTCTTTGTTCCATTCCAGTACCTGGCTAATTTTAACTACTATGAATCTCTCGCGTATAAACTATGCACCGGTGAGACGAATTGCAGGTGCAGAATGAGGTTATCGAGCCTGGCACACAGGTTTGAAATATTAAACAGACCCCACCTAACCCTCCTATTCCCCGAATCCCTGCCTTGTTCCTCTTAGACAGCATAAGCTACCTGAAGGTTGGTCACTAGTTTGCTCTGGTTGTTTTAATTTTCTGTATCAGGTCAGGCCAAGACTAGGGCAAGGCAAGTGAGGTGCCTTGCATCCTCCGGAGAGTGAGTCCCTGCTTGAATTTTGCACCCTGAGTGTCTTGCTTCCCCATCTTAGTCCTGACCCTAATCAGGCAAAATACAGAAGGATCTGTTTTCCTTGATAGCATCATCTCTAGCCTTGTTCTGAGGCCCCAGAGTCATTAGGCCCTTAGGAAAAGTGAAGACCAAAACCAGACTGTGGTTTAAAGCAGAGTTTTCCTCCAAATACTTGCCACAGATAGGGACAGGTGTGCCCAGGTACTGATCCCTTCAGCCCTCACTGTTACCTGAAGCTCCCAGAGCAACTGGAGCCCCTAAGCCAGTTGTTTTTTGACCTTGAACAGATTCTTCCGTTTACCTTAATGTTTAGGGTAAACAACTCTCCCAGTTTGCTTGAGATTTTCTCAATTTTAGCAAAGTCCCACATCCCAGGAAACGGTTCAGTCTCAGGCAAATCAGAATGGTCAGTCACTGTACCAATATGCCATCCCAGAAACGGCTCTGTGCCTTAGTTTTCCCATCTTTAAAAAGAGGATGATGATAGTCATCTACTCCCAGGGTTGTGCAGTGATTGCCTGGCCCACGGCAGGCACCGTGCAACCGTTTGCTATGATCGTCATCTTCTACGTGTGCCGTGACAAGGAAAAGGTTAGGAAGCCCTGTTCTAAGGGTTCATCATGTAGCTTATTGCTAGCACCGTAGGGGCATCACTGAAAACAAACTGGGAATTGTCCAACATTCACAAGCCAGTAGGGGAGAAGTCAAAATTGATAAACTACTAGGAAATGGACTAGTATAACACTACATTGTGAATTGTGGGAAGAGGGTAGCTTTGGGTTAGAATCATAGAATGCTGTTTCAGAAAACAGACCAATCCCCTTATTTATGGATGAGGAATTTGGTCTAGGAAACAGACCCAGAGAGGGTCAACAACTTACCCAAAGCCACGGGTCTAGTGCAGTGCTGAGAACCTGTGTCTTTGGAGTGCAAGACCAGCGTCTGTCCCCTAAGCTATAATGCACAATCAGCAAAGAATGGGTAGGGGGTTTTAATACGTCTTCCTGGAGATGGTGGTTTTAAAAATTGGTAACGAAGGCTACAACTTACACCAGTCCCTCTCTGGCCAGGACCCTAAGAATGCGCTCCAGCCTGGGTTCACGTGATTTGTTTCCCTGGACAGGTCTGCTCATGTCTGCTGTCACCGTCCTCATCCTGATTCTGTACTTCGTGATTGACAACTTCGTGATACAACGCAGACCGTGGCTACCTGAGTGTACTCCCATCTACATCCAGTACTTTGTCAAGTTCTTCATCATTGGCGTCACTGTGCTGGTGGTGGCTGTGCCAGAGGGGCTGCCACTGGCTGTCACCATCTCACTGGCCTATTCTGTGAAGGTGAGGCTGGAACGACCCTATCTCTTCCTTTAGAACAGAGATGGGAGGGGAGGGTACCGTGTAACCTTCAGTGAAAGGACAGGCCATTCTATCCCCTGTGGACTTTGGGTGGTGCCTCACAAGAGCAGGAGTCCCTGACACTGTGGAAGAACCATCTCAATCAGATGCATCAACATGTAAATTACCCAGTAGAATCTTAAGAGTTTCACAAAAATCGTGTCTTGCATTTTGGTGTGGGACTGCAGAATGAAATGCAGAGAGATGTTGGCTAGGAAATGACTTTGACCTATAATTGGGAGAGCCCAGTTGGTCCCCTCTCAAGTCTTTTCTCCTTTGTAGAAAATGATGAAGGACAATAACCTAGTACGACACCTGGATGCTTGTGAGACGATGGGCAACGCCACGGCCATTTGCTCTGATAAGACGGGCACGTTGACCATGAACCGCATGACTGTGGTACAAGCTTACATTGGGGGCACCCACTACCGTGAGATCCCGAGCCCTGACGTGGTCCTGCCCAAGGTCTTGGACTTCATTGTCAATGGCATTTCTATCAACAGTGCCTATACCTCCAAGATTCTGGTGAGCTTTTCCTTTGCCCGGGCACTTAGAATGGGCGGTTGGAGGGGAGCATTAATTTTCTCGGAGACAAACCCCCTAGTGTTTAGTCTGCATGAATTGCCACCCCGCATCCCATTTCTCACTCCCAAGGGAACACACTTGGGTGAGACTGGGGAGTAATCCACGGGAGTAGAGGGAGGGCAGGGGGTGAAGACCTGTAGAAATCCGCGGCCAGGAACAGGCACTGTCTCCAAGGAGGGACCTCCTGCTGGTAGTAGAATTGGGCTTATCTGGAATAAATTGCTCACTTTGCAGAAACAAGGAGAGGGTATTAGTGTGAGACTCACACAGGGTGAGAGACCAGCAATATCACAAACTACAAACCCCTAAGGCCTGGATGGCTTGGGGATCATGGTCACCACTGACTGCTGTCTGCCTACCCTTGAAAAAAACAAAAAACAGCTGGGCACAGTGGCTCATGCCTGTAATCCCAGCAACTCAGGAGGATGAAATGGGGGGATCACTTGAGCCCAGGAGTTTGGGGCCAGCCGGAGCAACATAGCAAGACCCCATTCTTAAAAATGAAAACAATTAGCCAGGAGGGATGGCATGCACTTAAAATCCAGCTACTCAAACTCAAGCTCAGGAGTTCAAGGTTACAGTGTGCTATGATTGCACCACTGCACTCTAGCCTGGGCAACAGAGCAAGACCCCATCTCTAAAAATAAAAATTTTTTAAATTAAAGAAAAAAAAAATGTTGTTTCCCGCATGGGATCTGGGTCTATATGAGAAAGTTTTGTAAGTTAATTCTTTCCTTCCTAAGTTCTGTCCCTGGTCAAGGCATCTTATTCAATAGTCCTGTGTGTTTTTTCTCTCAGCCTCCAGAAAAGGAAGGAGGCCTGCCGAGGCAGGTGGGCAACAAGACCGAGTGTGCTCTGCTGGGCTTTGTCACAGACCTGAAGCAGGACTACCAGGCCGTGCGTAACGAGGTGCCTGAGGAGAAGTTCTACAAGGTGTACACCTTCAACTCGGTGCGCAAGTCCATGAGCACGGTCGTTAAGAACCCCAGCGGCGGCTTCCGCATGTACAGCAAGGGCGCCTCCGAGATCATCTTGCGCAAGTGAGCACCTTCCCCCCCTTCCCTTCAAGATCCTCCTCTCGGGAAGGTCCGGGTGACATCCCACGCTGAAGCCCATGTAAACGATGGGCAAGGCCTCCCACCAGGTAATGACATAACTAATATCTGAGCACTGGATTGAAGTACTTTAGGTGGCTCATTTTATGTCATCGACTCGGTGAGGAGAATACTATTTAATAGTATTATCCCTGTTTTAGAGGTGAGAAAACAGAAGTAAAAGGAAGTTAAGTTACTTGCTCAAGGTGACACGTCTAACAGTGGCACAGCCAGGATTCAGACTTAGACTGTCTAAACTTCCATTTCCCCATCTGAACAGAGATAGTATTAAATAATACTCACCTAGTGACAATACTACTGCCCACCTCACTGTGATCAAGTGATTAAATATATGTGAAATGCCTTGTACATAGCAAGTACTGGAAATGTTAGTTCCATATTCTCCTTTCCTTTCTGTTCCCAATTCTGATTAGAGGAAGTTGCATAACTTAAAAAGTGGTCAGATTATCCATAGATCATTAAAATTAAAAGTTTACCCTGCCTGGGGATAGAGCCCGTAGGGCTGAATTAACCAACTTGGCTTTAGCCATCTTCTCTTAATCAACACATTCTTGTTCAGCACCCTCCTTCACCAGGCACTGAGCACTATTCTAGATACTAGGGATTGAAAAAGTCTCTCTACCTTCAAGAAATTCAAAAGAGGCCGGGCGTGGTGGCTCACGCCTATAATCCTAGCACTCTGGGAAGCTGAGGCTGGTGGATCACTTAAGTTCAGGAGTACAAGACCAGCCTAAGCAAGAGTGAGACCCTGTCTCTACTAAAAATAGAAAAATTAGCCGGGCATGGTGGCTCACACCTATAGTCCCAGCTACTTGGGAGGCTGAGGCAGGAGGATCTCTTGAGCCCAGGAGTTTGAGGTTCCTGTGAGCTAGGCTGACGCCACTGCACTCTAGCCAGGGTGACAGAGTGAGACTCTGTCTAAAAGAAAAAAAAATAGAAATTCAAAAGAGCAGGTGATCTACAAATGACTCAGCATTGTACTCACACATGGGTAAGAACAGATGACGTGGGAGCATCATACTCTCTGCCTACCCAGACCTTACTCCATCACCGCCATCCCACCTTGGAAAGAGGGCCTCAGCTGAGAGATGGACAAAGGAGAGGTTTGCCCATGGAACAGTGTCTTTAGGAATAAAGCAGATTGCCAAATGTCCGTAAATGATCGTAGAAACGTGTCGAGAGGGAACGCAGACACTGCTTTCTGACCGTGCGCCTCTCCAGGTGTAATCGAATCCTGGACCAGAAAGGGGAAGCGATACCATTCAAGAATAAAGACCGAGAGGACATGGTGCGCACTGTCATTGAGCCCATGGCCTGTGAGGGACTGCGGACCATCTGCATAGCTTACCGGGATTTCGATGACGCAGAGCCCTCGTGGGACAACGAGAGTGAGATCCTCACGCAACTGACCTGTATCGCCGTGGTGGGCATTGAGGACCCTGTGCGCCCAGAGGTGAGGCTTTGCTTGGAGAAAGAGCAAGAACACACAAATGGCAGTCTTCCTGTGGCCTCTGGCTACGCGTAGGCCCAGTGGGACCTAATCGGAAGCCACCCAGGAGTCACAGGAAGTGGGGTACTAGTTCCTTTTCTAATTGTGACCCCAGGCAAGTTACCTGACTGCATCTCACTGACAGGGCTAGAGGTTTCTCTGCTTCCTGCTTCCCAGAACTGCTGGGTTGTGCCAAACTGATAGACTATAGCCTTCCTAGAGTTCATGCTGTCTAGAGCGGCGAGAAACAAAGGTTCTTTTGGGATTATTATTCGGTACTTAACAATAGTTGGGTGGCGGAATTCACCGGGACACCAACTTTGTCTTTAGCTGCCTTCTTTCAATCAACACATTCTTTAGTGTGAGCACTAAATAGTGCTGAGCGCTATTCTAGACACTGAGGGGATTGGAAAAGTTTCTGCATCAGACAGATGGGTTATCAACTCTTGAGGCCCAGAGGCATGAGAAGGTGTCATGCATTTGGGAAACTACAAAGAGCTGATGTGTTTGGAGCATGGGCCAGGTGGGCAGAGTGGTAACAGCTTCTATGAGAAAGGAAAGCAGTGGTCAGGTCTCAAAATGCTATCCAGGCCCTGCTGAGGAGCAAGTTTTTACACGAGTCTCTTGAAGCAAATTTCCCCTTCAACTCATGGTACAATGAGGCAAGTTCAAATGCGACTACTATGGCATGGACAGAAGTGAGGTATCACCTGGCTACGTAAAAATGACCAGACTGAGCCTGTGCCCATGGCACTGGGCAGCTTGCAAGGATCACCACCCCCGTCTGTGCCTTTCCTCTTTCTTCACTCTCCATAGGTACCGGATGCTATTGCCAGATGCAAACGAGCTGGCATTACTGTCAGAATGGTGACAGGTGACAACATCAACACAGCCCGGGCCATCGCCACCAAATGTGGCATTCTGACAGCTACAGATGACTTCATGTGCTTAGAAGGCAAAGAATTCAACCGACTCATCCGCAATGAGAAGGGCGAGGTGGGTCCTGGGTGGGAGGAACCAGGCCCCCACTTGACAAGGGAGGGCCGTTTCCAGCGTGCGGCATCCGGGGCGTGTGGGAGACGGTGGGCGGTTTCTAAACTCGAATCTGTTCACAGCGAAACATCCCTTTGCACCAAAGCTGCTCAGATGGTAAAATGAGGAGTTGTCTTTCTTCTTATTATTAATGTCTCCATTCACAAGCTATCTTTTGAGACAGTGTCACTAACTTTTCAAGTCTTTCTGCTTTTTCAGTCACCGGATGATTTTGTGATGATTGCCCCCTACCTCACCCCTCCTATGTCACTGCCCTGTAGCTAACGGTGGCTAACAGAGGACATGTCTGGGTATGGAGCAGACCACAGCTTTCCTGGTCTGCATAGAAATCAAACCTGAAACCTCAGAAGCACCACTTTAGCCACCTGAGCCAACAGCTAACAACCCTAGCCCACCTCCCGTTAAGGGTATAAGAATAGGGGCTTGGCTCCCAGGTAGGGAATTGGGAGGAAAAAGAAGAGAAGAAGGGCCCGAATGATCGCCATCAGTAAATTCGGAGGCTGAGTTGGCTGTTTCATGTCCCCTGGAGGCCGGGATGAGACTCCCCGATGGGGCTGTGGAGTGTCAGATCTCCCAGTAGCTCAGAGTGTGTGGAAAAGTAAGACTTTCCCGGTTAGTGGTTCTGAGTTTGACTGATCCGGGTGTGGTCTGGTGTCGGCAGGTAGAGCAAGAAAAGCTGGACAAGATCTGGCCTAAGCTTCGGGTCCTGGCGCGATCGTCCCCCACTGATAAGCACACACTGGTGAAAGGTGAGACTGGCTCCCCAGTGGGTCCCTGAGATGGGAGCAGGCGGGCCGGGGTGAGCACAGGTAAGAGCCATCAGCCCGAGCAACTCTCCTGTTGTGGTAGGGAGGTCCTAGGAGAGCAGCCAGGCTAGTGGGAGAATGCAGTCCAGCAAACCTCCCAGCCCTTGGTGAGTACGACACATAATGAACTTATTTTTAAACATTATCGTGTCGTTTGCCAATAGTACTTTGAACCAGGCAGGGCAGCTAAAACTCTCCCCATTTTGTAAATAAGGAAGTTTGAAGCTGAGAAGACAAGTCACTTCCCCAAATGACTGGCAGGTAGGTAGAAGGGGTATAGTGTGACCCTCGGGTCTCTGCCTTCAAATCCATCTGGTGCTTTTCCCACCACATAGGAGTTGCTTAGGGCAAGATGAGGACAGACCTGCGTAGCTCAGAGTGCTACCGGTGGAACCACTCGCTGCCCTTGGGTAGTTGCTCTAGAACCTCTAGCATCAGCAGGAAGGAAGGAAAGAAGAAAGTAGAAGGGATGGGGGATTGCCCGGAGTGGGGTGGGGAGACCAGAGAAGCACTTTTCACAGAAAACAGTGCTTGCCAAATGGCCCCAGTGGCACACGTGTGCTCACTGTGGTGCGTGTCTGTTTCTCCCAGGCATCATCGACAGCACTATTGGGGAACAGCGACAGGTGGTGGCTGTCACTGGGGATGGCACAAATGATGGGCCCGCTCTGAAGAAAGCAGACGTTGGTTTTGCCATGGTAAGCTCAGCACAATGTCTTCCTCTCACTGCAAGCTGCCCTCTGCGTCAGGAGGCCAGGACAGGCTTCTGACAGCTCCGTGTCTCTCCCCCCGCCTGGCCAGTAACAGCGTGTGTAATGGCGGACCTATCAAGTGTGAAGAGTAGATAACAGCGACAGGGACGTTATGAAGGACCATTACCCAGGAAAAGCAAGACCAACTTTTTCTTTTGTTTTTTTGAGACAGAATCTTACTCTGTCGCTCTGGGCTAGAGTGCCGTGGCGTCAGCCTAGCTCACAGCAACCTCAAATTCCTGGGCTCAAGCGATCCTCTTGCCTCGGCCTCCCGAGTAGCTGGGACTACAGGCGTGTGCCACCACACCTGGCCTATTTTTTCTATTTTTAGTTGACTGGCTAATTTTTTTTCTATTTTTAGTAGAGACAGGGTCTCGCTCTTGCTCAGACTAATCTTGAACTCCTGACCTCAAGCAATCCTCCCACCTCAGCCTCCCAGAGTGTTAGGAATACAGACATGAGCCACCGTGCCAGGCCCAAGACCAACTTAAATTTGCCCACAAACATGGTGATATTGTCTGCCTAGGCAAACTATAGAAAATTCATCTTCCATATGAGACGTGCACTCTGTGGCCAGCACTGTTCAGTACTCTGCTTTTCACTTGTGAGGCTGAGCGTCAGAATGATTTGGAAACTTTGAAACCACGTTGGCTATCTTGATTCAGAAAGGTTTGAGGTGAGGACCAGAAATGTGTGTGTGTTTAACAGGTACACCAGTTGATTCTGATGTTCGGAGAGGTTTAAAAGCTGCCAGATTGTATCCTCTCACTTAAGTAGCTTATGATTTAAAGCCTCCCATATAGATTGGACTGTTGGTGATTTTTAAGCAGTGGAAGGATTCTTAAGAAGTAATATATCAGCTGGGTGCGATGGCTCACATCTGTAATCCTAGCACTCTGGGTGGCCGAGGTGGGAGGATCGCTTGAGGTCAGGAGTTCGAGACCAGCCTGAGCAACAGCAAGACCCCATCTCTACTAAAAATAGAAAAAATTAGCTGGGCGTGGTGGTGAGCGCCTGTAGTCTGAGCTACTCAGGAGGCTGAGATAAGAGGATTGCTTGAGCCCGGGAGTTTGAAGTTGCTGCGAGCTAGGCTGATGCCATGGCACTCTAGCCCCAGCAAGAGAGCAAAACTCTGTCTCAAAAAAAAAAAAAAAAAAAAACGGAGATTATTATTCCGTATTAGTAATTATACAGCAATATTGCTCCTTTTGTTTTACAGTGCATCGTGTGGCATTGTATGGATGTATTAGGGAACTTGGTTTTTCTTATCTCCACTAGTCTTTTGACTATCTCCTACCACTCTCTTCTTGCTCAAACTGCTTCAGCCACACTGGCTTCCTTTCTCTTCCTTGATTCTTTGCACTCGCTGTTCCCTCTCCCTGGAACTCTCTGCAGTCATATACCCTCAAAGACACTCTCTCTTCACCGAGATCTCTACTCAAATGTCAACTTATTAAGAAACTTCCCCTCGCCACTCTATCACACCTACCCAGGGAACTATTTGATGGGAACTTGAATGACATAGTCTATCTAACAGATGCTCATCTGTTGCAATCTGAATAGGAAAATAATGCTACCAGGTAAAGAGAACAAATAGTCTACCGACTAAGTACACACCAAATTAAAGAATAAGCTCCTCTGTGGAGTTGCAAGATGTGAACTAGAAATATGGGCTGGGATGTCAGGGATATCTTTGCAGAGCAATTTCGATTTAATTGGATGGAGCCCTAAAGATAGATAAGATTTAAATAGATGGGAAAGAGGCTATTTCAGGCTTAGGGAAATGATGTAAATAGAAGTGTAAACTCTAGAAGAGATTCAGGGGATTGTGAATAAACCAGTAGATTGTGAGCAAAAAGATTACAGAAGAGCAGGTTGGAGAACGAATCAGAGTTCACTTGCTGAGGGCACTGACTACCAGGTTTAGAAAGCTCACTATTTCGAAAGCATGGCTTTCAACCATTGGTTTCTATCCGGAAACCTTCAGTGGATCCACTTGGACAGGATTTTGAACAGAGACAAAATCTCTGAGCTGTGCTGCCAGACAACTACTCCTAGAGCAAGATGTCGAGTTCTCAAAGGCGCGAGGGAGACGAGGACTTAAATGAGATACTAGCAATGGAAATTGAAGAATTTAATTCATTCTTAAGCAGAAATTTAAGAATTTGGAGGTAGAACAGATAGGGTTAGTTAACTACCTTTCATTTAGTCTCCAAGATAGAGGCTGCAGGAGGGGAGGATCAGAGATGACTGTAATTCCCAGTCCCGGTGCAGGAGTAAGGCGGTGGCATCAGACCCCAGCCCTCTTCTGTAGAGTGACAGAGACCCATTTTCTCTTCGTTTTCTTTTGTGTGGCGAGCGCGCCCTCTGATACGCATACCTACTTCTGAAGCTTCTTAGAGACCAGGGTTCAGAACGCAGACAAGCTCCGCCTCGTCCCGTCTCACTGCTTGCCTTCCCCGTCCTACCGCAGGGTATCGCAGGCACAGACGTGGCAAAGGAGGCCTCAGACATCATCCTGACAGATGACAACTTCACCAGCATCGTGAAGGCGGTGATGTGGGGGCGAAATGTCTATGACAGCATCTCCAAGTTCCTGCAGTTCCAGCTCACCGTCAATGTGGTGGCCGTGATTGTGGCCTTCACCGGAGCCTGTATCACTCAGGTGAGGGGTGTGGCGAGCTGAGAGGGGAAGGATGAGGCAGGGGCCAAGGAACATGGGGCGGCGGGTCCAGTGTGCCTGCCGAGGAGTGAGGGCAAGGTTTCCCTGGCAACGCTGGGGCAGGAGTTAGCTCTCCTAGGTCCACTGTCTCCATCTGCTTATGTGGAACGGTGATAACTTACCTGCCGCTAATTTAGCACTTGGTGTCGGCCACTGTGATGAGCACTTGTGTGTACTGTCTCTACTCTTAGAAAACAACCTTGCAAGGTAGATATTGTCATCCCTGTTTTACAGATGAGGACCCAAGGCTCAGAGAGGTTAAGTAACTTTCTCAAGGTCATTCAGCTAATAAGTGGCCAGATTCAAAGTCTAGGTGGACAGCAGAGTCCAGGCCATCTACAGGGCAAAGGTGGGGCTGACGCGGAGGTGGGGGTGGTTTCTGAGGAAAGCTCAAAGGACTGGCTCTTCTGCCCGCCAGGACTCCCCACTGAAAGCCGTGCAGATGCTGTGGGTCAATCTAATCATGGACACTTTCGCTTCACTGGCCCTGGCCACGGAGCCCCCTACCGAGTCTCTGTTGAATCGTCGCCCCTATGGCCGGAATAAGCCTCTGATCTCACGTACTATGATGAAGAACATCCTGGGCCATGCAGTCTATCAGCTCGTTGTCATCTTCATCCTTGTCTTTGCTGGTGAGCCAGGGTGGGATTGGGGTGGGGTGGGGCAGCAGCTGGGGTGCCGGATGGAGATGGGGGCAGAGAATGGCCCGAGGAAAGAAGGCAGCTCAGACCAGGCAAAATAGCAGCTTCACCTACTGAGTGCTTCCGTGTTCCTGCTACATGGTGCATTATGCTATTTACTGTACTCCTCTTAAGAATTTCACAGCGGTGACCTTATTATTCATATTTTTGCAGATGACAAAAATGAAGCTCAGGTTCCATGATGAGTAAATAGTGGCACTGAAATGCAAACCTGTGTCTCTCTGACTCCAGTGCACACGGTCCTACCACCGTGCTACCCTGCACGAAAGCAAGGACCAATGGAGCAAACAGAGAGGGTCAGATGGGTTGAGACCAGGCCTAACGTTTAAAATATTTAATAACAAGTATAGCTCAGATAGTGACCAATTAGAATAGACACCCAGTGTGGCCACACCGGCGCGTTCTGACTCCCAGTTCGGACCACACTTACCCTCCAGTGCTTCTCCTCTCCCTACTAGGTGAGAAGTTCTTTGACATTGACAGCGGGAGGAAGGCGCCTCTCCACTCACCACCCACACAGCACTACACCATCGTCTTCAACACCTTCGTGCTGATGCAGCTCTTCAACGAAATCAACTCCCGCAAGATCCACGGGGAGAAGAATGTCTTCGCGGGCATTTACCGCAACCTCATCTTCTGCTCTGTAGTCGTGGGCACGTTCGTCAGCCAGGTGAGATTCTATCCGGAGCTGGGGTAGCAGATCTGGGATGGCAAAGGCCACAAGCTGGGAGCCACAGTTCCCTAAGCACCCAGGGAAAGGAGCGAGGGAGAAATGGGGACTGAGGCCGTGGGTTGAGCACTTTGGGGTTCCCAATTAGCTTCCATCTGTGCGTTGCTCTAGAGTTGCAGCCCAGTGCGCCAGGTGTTCCAGAGCGAGGCAGTATGTGGACTGCAGACAAGACTTGCAGAATCTTTTCATTGTCCATCTAAATACACAGAAATTTCACAAAGTGGCCAAGAGAAGGGTCACTCTCTCCTACCCCTCTCCGTGCCTCCTGCCAGCATACGTGAAACGTGTGGGTGCGTGTAGTATGGGCTCCCTGTCCCTTCGCCGTAGTTCTGAAGGGGCTCGTGGGAGAAAATGCTGCACAGTGCTACAGGGAAAGAGAGGTGAGGGGTGGCGCACATGTAGTTGCACGGCCCAGCGTGGGCTCCTCCTGTGGAACCGAGGTCAAGGGCTCGGCTCCTCTGGTGGTAAACGGATCGAGCCCCTTCCCCTTGCCCTAGCCAGAGGTACGCTAAAACATCTCTGGATCCGAGAGCTTCCGAGCTCGCCGTGTAACAAACGAGCTCCTGCCTCATCCCTCAGCGGGGTATGTCCCTTATGTGCCCCATCCTCAATTCCTCTTCTCCATCGCTGTGTCTTCTCTTTGTCACCCACTGGCTTTTGTCACCAGAAGCCCCCAGCTCCCCCACATCTTACGTCATAGTCACTGCGTCTGTCTCATCAGAGTGCTCTAAAAGACTGTTTGTGTCTGCCTCTCCTAGATTTCTTCTTTCCCCTTCCCCAGCAAGCAAATCAGGACTTGCACCCCAAGAATCCTGGGGCAGGGGGATTATGTGGCTTTGGTGTCCTTGGCCGGAGGACTAACTACCTGTTAGTCACCTCCCTGATGGCAGGCTGCCCCTTTCTCTGTCCTAGATTCTCATCGTGGAGTTTGGGGGTAAACCCTTCAGTTGTACGAAGCTCAGCCTGGCCCAGTGGTTGTGGTGTCTGTTCATCGGGATTGGAGAACTTCTGTGGGGCCAGGTGAGTACCGGCACGCCTTCCCCTGCTCCGCACAGCCTGCAGGCCCCTCTGCATGAGATGGAGCGAGCAGCTGTGGAGACGCTCCGCCCCCGCCCCCCCTTCGTCCTCTCCCCCTTCCCCCCGCAGGACCCTGCAGGGGAATGGCCAGTGCCCACCGCTTCAGGGGTTTCAGGTTTCTTCTCTAACCGTGCCCGGGGGCAGGCAAATCCCTTAGCTTCTCTGACACAGGTGGAACTTTTCAAAGAAGTTTTGCTACAAAAAGAAAACACTGAAGTGTCTTAGAAGGAGAAGAGTTTACAAAGCACAAGTCCTTATTCCAGTGAAGCAGCGGCCTGTCTGTGCGCTGCTGTGTGGACATACTCAGGGCTCCCCAGCCTCTTCTGTTTCTCACCGTGGCTTTCTCGGGGTGGAATGCCTGACGCTCACCTGAGATGAATTCAGGGTCGCGAGATCTCGAGAGACGCAGTGGAGCACACGGTTCTGAGCGTGGACTCTGGGGATGACTGTTTGATTTGAATCTGGCTCTCCTTTTTACAAGCTGAGTCACCTCGGGCCAGTTACTTAACCTCTCTGTGCTTCTGTGTCCTCAACTTAGGATAACAGGTCATCGTTAATTGTTATTAATCAGTAAATTGGTTCCTATATGCTAAAGACTTAGAACAGTGTCTATCTGGTACCTTGCGAGTATTCAATAAATGTAGCTGTGAGTATTATGTATATAATATCATCAGGTCTAGTCAGAGTTTCACTCCTCCCTAATACCGCTTCACACTCCCCCCATCCTCAGCTCCGGCCTGGGTCGTACTTCTCTTTGCAGACCCCAGATTTCTGTGAATAAGCCCCGAGTGCGCAGCCCCTGGGTAACGGGGGCTTTGCCCTGACTGGCTCCAAGAGCCCTTTCCGGAGCTGCAGGCCTTCCCCCCAGACCTGCCTTGTTTGTTCACACCTCCTACGTGAGCCCTGGGTAATTTCTAACCCAATTCCCTCCACCCCGTTCTGTTTGCTGAAGTTTATTTACCAGTGGGTTCCTAAGGCAGCTTTGTACGTGGGTGAAGCTTGGCTGTTTCACCTCTTGTTGGAAACTCTCCTCTGGGTCCGGTCTCGCATGTGGCCGTGTGGCCTCGATGCTGATCACGGCCTTCCTTCTGTATCGCAGCAGCGCCTTCCAACATCCAAAAGCAGAGCTTTGACATTGTTCCCATTTTTAACCGCCTGGCTCCATGACGGACTGCCCATGCGGGCCCTCTTTCCCGTCTGAGCCCTGCCTACTCCTCATCTTGTTTGTAAAGGAAAACTGACAGGTTCTGAGCTCATCAAGGATTTATTTTGAATTTCAACCCCAACCTGCTGCTCCATGCCTTCTGATAATACTCATGTGTGGGCTGGGCGCTATGCCTCGTGCCTGTAATCCTAGCACTTTGAGGGGCCGAGGCGGGAGGATCGCTTGAGGTCAGGAGTTTGAGACCAGCCTGAGCAAGAACAGGACCCTGTCTCTACAAAAGTAGGAAACTTAGCCGGGTGTAGCGGCTCGTGGCTGTAGTCCCAGCTATTCTGCAGTCTGAGGCAGGAGGATCCCTTGAGCCCAGGAGTTTGAGGTTGCTGTGAGCTATGATGACAATACTGCACTCTAGCCGGGGTGACAGAGTGAGAATCTGTCTCAAAAAAAAAAAAAAAAAGAAATACTCGTGTGTCCCTTCTTCCATGGCCTGTAGCACCCACTTCCGCAGCCCAAGCACAAGAAAACTTTCATTGATAGTATCCTCTCCGCCAGGCGCGGTGGCTCACGCCTATAATCCTAGCACTCTGGGAGGCCGAGGCAGAAGGATCGCTCGAGGTCAGGAGTTCGAGACCAGCCTGAGCAAGAGCAAGACACCGTCTCTACTAAAAATAGAAAGAAATTAGCTGGACAACTAAAAATATATAGAAAAAATTAGCCAGGCATGGTGGCGCGTACCTGTAGTCCCAGCTACTTGGGAGGCTGAGGCAGAAGGATCGCTTGAGCCCAGGAGTTTGAGGTTGCTGTGAGCTAGGTTGACACCACAGCACTCTAGCCCGGGCAACAGAGTGAGACTGTCTCAAAAAAAAAAAAAATAGTATCCTCTCACTGTATTTTTATAACACAGGCACTGCATTGCTTGTGGTAACCAAGAAGGGAGTCGCTCGCTTCCGGCACCCTGTCTCCCTCGCCCTGCACATGCAGTGTGGCCTCTTCTCCTCAGACTTGTCTCCCCCACGTGCTGGTCTCTGTCTTTTCCTACTACGTGCCATGCATTACAGTTATGTTTCCCATAAAAGGCAGGTAGCAAAATGGAAAGGAAGAAGTGAGACAGAAAGAGGAAAATGAAATATATAACTAGGCAGAATACAAGCTCTCTTTTGTGTGTCCATAAGTACGGAAAACCTCCCTGAGAGCCTGGCAGCTGGTGGCACTTGGAGCATCCTTGCGTCCCCTCACTGCTCTCCTGGTGGGCAGGGCTACAGGGCAGAGAGTAACCGACCACAGGCCTGAGCCGTGTGAGTTGACTAACAACTCTTCTCACCCTGAGTCTGGTGTCTCCCCCTTCGCTGCACCTCTTCTCAGGTCATCTCTGCGATACCTACCCAATCCCTGAAGTTCCTGAAGGAGGCTGGGCATGGCACCGCCAAAGAGGAGATCACCAGGGACGCCGAGGGCCTGGACGAGATCGACCACGCAGAGATGGAGCTGCGCCGAGGCCAGATCCTGTGGTTCCGAGGCCTGAACCGTATCCAGACTCAGGTACTCTGAGAGAGGCCTCTCCTCCCCCGGGGAAGCGTTAGGAGGGCAGCAGTTCTTGGTGGCCAGCCTCCCTGCCCTTCCGAAGGTTCACGACTCATGGAATGGGCAGCCCGGGCTCCCTGGCTTCAGGACACCAAGGGGCAGAGGTTTCTCTGAGAGGAGAGTAGTCAAAGAAGCTAGGCCACGGCACACTTTAGCACAGCCCTTTAGCTTTGCGTTGGCTCTAAAGCCCACCGTCCCACCCTCCATCGGGGGGGCAAGCTTCCCACCTAAGGTTCCTTGCAGCAGACCTGCCCCCACCGCGGAGAGCAAATGCTCAGAGCCTTTCCCTGCCCTTCAGAAGGAAGGCGTTAGGCAACGTCTCCATGCCAACATGCCCAGCAGACCCTAAATGTGAACTCCTCACACTGCCCTCATGGAAACAGATGTTATCTGGAGGGATCTCTGTAAAAGAAACTCACCCCCTTTCATCTCCCCCACTCAAAGCTTAAGGCCATCGTGGGGAATCCGATGGCTCAGTGTATACAAATAACAGTGTCTCGAGGCCTGAGTATCTTTTGCAGGATTCAAACTTGCTTCCTGACAAGGAAGAAGCTATAATTTCTTCAAACCTCTTCCCTTCTTGCAATTTCTGAAATGGGATAGAAGCTGCTGCTCTTAAATCCCCTACCTACAGCCCTGCAGTAACTTTTTGTTTTTTCCATTTTCCATGCACCAGTTGTAACTACCTTCTCCGGCGTGAATGGGCCGATCTAGGCGTGGATGATGCTGTCTCTCCCCGCCCTCATCCCACACACCTTTGTTGTGTTGCTCCCCAGATTCCCCATCTCAACAAACTATAAATTCCAAGATCTCAGGGGTAGTCTCCAGGGAGCAAGCCTATTTCTCTCTGTTGATGGGCTGGAGACCCCAAAAATAGTTTTACTCTAAAATTCACCTCGCAGATAGTTTAGCAAGTTCCCCAGTTAACCCCACCTCAGTGCACGGGAAGACAGACAAAATTAATATTCTAAACTACATCCCCAGCAGGAATTTATCTCCCAGGGGCAGGACAGCAGACGGAAAAGAAGGGCTAGGTAGGGGAACACTGGGTTCCTTCGCCCTCTCTCGAGTTCCTCCTCCCAGACGGGAAAATGCCAGCAGGACCTGTACAAAGTGCCCCGTGGCATCCAGAGTTCCACGCCCACTCCCTGCCCCCTCCTCCAGGCTGCGAGTCATCAAGTGCCCGTAGAACCTGGCGCCTTGGGCTCCCGTCTCTAAGGCCCCCAGTGCTTCTCTCCGGGTCTGCTCGTTTCAAAATAACCTGTCTTTGCTTTTCTTCCCTTCAGGATCACCTGCCTCCTCTTCCACTGTGTAATTTTTTTCCCAGCCAGGATTCCCTCATTCCAGAACCTCCTCACTCCTTGCCAGTCTTCTGTCCCGTAGGGCTGAGATTCATGGGTCTTCCTTCCCCTCCGCTACCACTTGCCACCCTTTGTCGATGCGCCTCCCTGTTGGTTTCACTGCCTACATAGCTTTAGGGATGCTACCCGTCCCTGCTGGAGCATGAGGCAGCCGGGCCAGAACAGCACTAAAGCCCAAACTTAAGCACCAAAGGAGATCTAGTAAAGACGCCACGATGACCAAATTCACGCCATTCCAGTGTGCGCCCGACTCTGTAAGCAGACGAGGTTAACCGAGCTGATGTGCGTCCCAGATACCCGAGGTCCGCGCCTGGCATCCACTCCCCAGCCTCGGCAGGGTTCTGACACAATCCCCTGCCCTCGCAGTGTTGATCCTCGTCGTTCTCATTGCAACGCTTAGGAGTGGGAGGTGTTGCCAAGCTGTGGTCCAATTCTGGATGGGATTTCCCCTTTCCCTGGTTCTAGACTGTTCTTCCCTTCTCCTTTTCCCTTTAGGTTTTGGGGAGCTAAAAGCACCATAAAGCCGTTTAGGAAGCTTAAAGGGTAGAATCTTGGGTCCAAGTTCATTATGGAGGTTGGGACCTTGTAACCCTCATAAGCATTAAAGGATGTGTCTCCACAGCCCCTTCCTCAGTGGAGCTGGAACCCTCCCAAGGGTAGACCCTTCCCTTGCAGCTTCAGACTCCTCAGTTCCCTGGAACTGAAAACTGCATAATGTGAGGAAGGGGTGGCATTTTAGCTCACACTTGGACATGGCTCCAGAAATTAACCCTAAACATTTCATGGCTTCTTAGGAAGCTTTATAAATAAGAACAACTGTCTCCCTCACAAGGGGCCTGCTTTCTCATCTTCTGGGGAAATGAAGTCAGATTAATGGAATCAGCACCTTTCCTACATTCCTGGTAGATTGACCCTTGGCATTAGGCAGGTGGATATTTCTAAGATTATTCTACCAGATCCATGAAGGGTAAAGGGAATTCCTTTTGACTCGTTCCTTGTTACTTAGGGGTCAGGGATAAGGATGGTAAATTTGATTGAGGCCCCAGATCAGGACCACTGCTGGGAAGTGAATGGCATTAACTGCCCCTGTCTCTGAGGAGTAGCACACTGAAAACCAGAGTCTGCTTACACAGGCCTAGACCTGCAGCTGCTCTGCACCACCACCACCACCAACCAAAAACTCTTCTTCCTCCTCCCTCAGTCTGAGTTACTGTTGGCGTTTCTGCCAGACATTTCAGGATGTCCAATGCATCAATGTAGCGAGCAGCATTCTCTCAATGGGCCTGGCCACTGGATTCTTGAGCTCCATTCTCAAGGCCCTGTCCACTTCAGCCAAGGGAAAGGGTATCTCAGAGAAATACCCAGAAGAGGATGAGCCTAGCAACTCGCGGTCCAGGGGCCTTTCCTTCATGGCCACTATGTACCGGCCACTACACTGGCCCTGTTTTTTCTTTAAACACATGAGGTGTTTTCATGGGAAATCTACAAAAATAGGTAGTCAGTTTAGTTGTTTTAGAGGTTCCTGAGCCTTGAAATTCAGTGATATGTACTTTGCCTTTAGTATCTTAAATTGTACACATCATTTTTAAGAGTACAGGTCAAAACCATGAATAAGCTGCTAGTCACTGTCTAGCTGTTAGGAGTGACGGAGTGGGAGGGACATCCTTTTAAATTTTAAATATTCTTGGACACCTATACAGCTTAAACACCCACCCAAGGTTAAAGGGGAAGAGAAAACTGGATTCTGGCTGGGTGTTGGGACTCCATGGCAAATTGTTCCCTAAATGAAGTGTGATGTGCAATTAACGTTTCTCCCCCTTCTCCTCACCATTGCTTTGTGTATGAGGGAATCTCTCTCTTGCTTTCTGTCTCCTATACCCTCTTCCCAGCTACTTCCACCCCCCTTCCCGAACCTTCCCAGACCCTCCCTTCCTCTATCTACGCCTCTCTCTGACTGTGGAGCAAAGCTGTCTCACTCTCTGATTCTTTGCAGATCGACGTAATTAACACATTCCAGACTGGAGCCTCTTTTCAGGGAGTCGTAAGGCGACAGAACTTGGGTCAACACCATGACGTAAAACTTGGTCCTAGCTCATCCTATGCAGCAGTTGTACCAGTCAAATCTTCCCCCCGCACTTCTGCTGCTGCTGCTGTTTCATCTCCTTCTATGGGCAGTGAGTGATAGTCTATTATGATGCATGATTTGCTAAAATGACCACAAGAGAGCACGTGGCATCCACTTTAACCAACCATGGTTATCTTTTCCTTTTGGTTTTTCCCTTTGATCTTTTGACCCAAGGGAAGAAAAGACAAAAATCCCACTCTAAAGCCAGGCAATGTACCCTTTTATTTTTTTAATGTAGAAAAGCTATTAAACCTTAACCATTTTACAGACAATAATCCTGTTTTCCAATTGTTCTGCATTTCTTGTTCCTCCCTTTTCTTAAGTTTTGTTTTGCTTTGCCTCGTTTTTTTTGTTTTTTGCTTTGTTTGAATATATTGTTGTTCCTCTCCTGTTCTCCTGCTCCTTTGAGTCTAACACCCACCTCCCAAGCTTAGATTAAGGTTAGACTGAATGGATACCCAGGAACTCTCTTTACATGGGGGCAAGTTTGGAATCTCCTGAAGAAAGGTGTGTAGGGAGCTAATGTGCCTGTGGCCTTTTCACCAGTGGACCTGTCATGATGGAGCCAATATTAGACTTCGTCCATAATAATAGTCCTTTCGGCTGCCACTGTATTGTTGGCTGACAGTATTAGCGTAAAAGTTGTAGCTGGATGTAAAGAAAAGAAGATAGTTCAGTTCAAATGTATAGGGCTGAACATCCTCAGTATTATACTTTCCAGAGACCTTAAACCACAGTCTGGTTTGTTGTGGGGTTTTTTGTTTTTTTTTTTTTTTGAGACAGAGTCTCATCCCGGGTGAGTGCCATGGCATCAGCCTAGCTCACAGCAACCTCAAACTCCTAGGCTCAGGTGATCCTCCTGCCTCAGCCTCCCGAGGAGCTGGGACTATAGGCACCAGCCACCACGCCCGGCTAATTTTTTCTATTTTTAGTAGAGACGGGGTCTCGCTCTTGCTCAGGCTGGTCTCGAACTCCTGAGCTCAAGTGATCCTCCCAGAGTGCTAGGATTACAGACGTGAGCCACCGTGCCTGGCCACAGTCTGGTTTAAGAATCAATTAATTCACATCAGGGTAGGAGAAGTATATGAAAGGGTCGAAATAACTTATTTTTTCTTCATTTCTTCATTTACTAGATCTTCTTTTTTAGAAGTTTCTGAAGAGAAACGCTTTTTTTAGGAATCCCTTTCTCAGCCAGCCTTTCAGTTGGAAGACTGTCAACTCTCAACCTAAGATCTGATGTTCCCATTGGTAGATAGTTGGATACTTATGCTTGTACCTTCCTGTTCCTGGTCATTTTAGCTCCCCTAAATGGGACACAGGAGAGAGAAGGCAGCCAGCTCTTTGCTGATAGTGCTATTAAGGTATTTGATAGGAAAGGAGTTTCTCCATATTAAAAATATTACAGGCTCCTAGTATCTGAGCCTTCAGTCGATTCCTTCCTCCTTGGCTCCAGCCCCACCCCTCAACCCTGGGACTGGGATGAAGAAAGAGCAGTTGCATTATCTGTGGTTCCCATGATTGTGAGCTGTGTGGGTTGACCTGAATTAGGTTTATTTTGTCTTTTTAGCCAACTGTAAGTGTTCTGATGTGAGGTGGGAGGGTGGGGCTTGGTATAGATGCGTACTATTTCGTTAGGCCCAAAGGCGGATAAGAAAGAACTAAATAAATCTTGCCCTACAAATATCCAAGAGCCTCTCGCTCTAGCCTTTCTATATCCCCTCTGTATTCCTCTCTTAATTCCTTTTTTCTGGCTGGTCCAAGTGCCGTAGTGTTTACAACAAATTGGGCTGGGCATGGTGGCTCACACCCGTAATCCTAGCACTCTGGGAGGCCGAAGTGGGAGGGTCACTTGAGATCAGGATGTTCGAGACCAGCCTGAGCAAGAGCGAGACCCCATCTCTACCAAAAATAGAAAAATTAGCTGGGCAACTAAAAATAGAAATAAAAAATTAGCTGAGCATGATGGCAAGCGCCTGTAGTCCCAGCTACTCTGGAGGCGGAGGCAAGAGGATCGCCTGAGCCTAGGAGTCTGAGGTTGCTGTGAGCTAGACTGACGCCATGGAACTCTAGCCTGGGCAACAGAACGAGACTCTGTCTCAAAGAAAAAAAAGTACAACTAATTGGTCACAACCAGTTATAGATTCCTTTGTTCCTTCTCCACTCCCACTGCTTCACTTGACCAGACTAAAAAAAGTAAAATAAAACAAATTCCTTTTTTCTTTCCATTTTGCCATCCCATTCTAACTAGCTTCTGTTCTTTTTAAATCATCCCTCTCTGGTAGGAAGGGTTAATGTCATATGTCCTGGTGGTTTCACAGTGGAAAGAGACTAAGCTGAAGACCAAGCCCAGTGGACTCTTGCAGAGGAGCTGGTGGAGGGTATTCTGCCAGCCGTCAAAGGCTAGATGGATCCGGGAGAGACGGGCCACACCTGCTCTTTCTCCAGCTGTGCCTTCTTAGTTGGAGGCCCTAGGAGTTACAGTCATGCATTTTAAAACCCTCTTTCCT